ACTCCGACACCGTAGAGAAGCTTTTAAACGTGGAATAAGTGTTAGTATAATTTAATGAGAATGAGACATTTCGAACATGAGAAAATAAAAAATGATGGTCTTTAAGCTGCATCAGACATAAACTATATGGTTGATACGTCTAACGTTGTACTGTACAACATAGAACTATGGCCAAATACATCTACTGTGGCAATGCACCACGTTCGTTAGCAATGAATTCGGCTGGAGCACAAAAAGTTGGCTTATTACACAATAAAAAATTATAAACACATCTTCTATTACAATTGCTTCACCAAAGTTGGCTTATCAGCATGGGCGGACCCAAGGGGGTCATGGGGGGTCAAGTGACCCCCCAACTTTTGAGATTTCCTCGTTTATTTTTTTTTTAAGTTATGTTTGGTATCGATTGAAATTAAAATTTTAATCTAAATCAAGTTAATAATTAATTTTAAGAACATATTTCCTGAATTCTTTAACTTCTAAAATTTAATCAAAATTTATTAAAATCGAACTTTAATCCCCATCAAACAGAGACAAAATCACAATAAATTTGATTTTTCTCTCATTTTTATTGCTCTATCCTATTCTCTCCTTCAAGCCTTTTACCAAAATCTTAACTCTTCTAATTTTTTAAAATTTGTTTATAATTCCTCTACAATTATCACATTTACTACAAATTTTTAATTAATTAGAACTTAAATTTGCATTTTCTCCTATTCTATTTGTGTATATAACATTTGTCTAAACTGATTATATAAAATTTAATTTATATATAACGAATTGTGTTTATTTGACTGATTATTAGTATTGAATATTGGTTATTTCTTATTTATCTCTTCTTTCGATTACTTGAATTGACTGTTTGTATCAAATACACAATTTTTTAAAACATAAATATATATTTTCTTGTGATGAGCAAAATATTAATAAAATTATTGTTCAAAATCAAATAAATGAAAATGATTAGCAAAATATTAATGAAGAAATAGTTTTGAAATTTAAATCTACATTTTTTCAGGTCAAATATTAATCATTCAAAAATAAAAAAACAAAGTATTTGATTTGTACAAAGTTTGATTCTGTCCCCCCCAGCTCAATTTCTCTATCCGCCTCTGCTTATCAGACACTCATTTCTATACAAGTAAGATAAGAAATAAGTACCACCATTTTCGGATGTGAAGAATTAAATCATAGAAAATTGGAAAAATAATTTACACATTCATCCTTTTACAAAATGTGAAGAACTAGGAAGGTGCATAGATGGGGCCAATGGAGATGGTGTTGGCGTTGGTACCTAGCATTTTCATTTTGCTAATCTGGTAATAATTAGGATTTCTTGGGTTCAGGTACGTTGGGATTGGTTTGGGTGTGGGTACTTTATTTGTTTTGACAACATTATCATAGGTTAGATGATACACAAATGGAGATTCCAAAGCAAAATTGTCTTTTACCTTTAGCATTATTCTTTCCACTTCCACATGTATAACCAGAATCAGAGAAATTAATTTGCTTTTATCATAGAGATAAGAAGGGAAATATTACTTTAAGAGCATCTTCAAAAGACTCTTTAAATATGAGATACACTCTATTTTGGAGAGACAACCCTTAAAATCATGCTACAAAATACTATTTAAATTAACATTTTATTTTAAAGAGATAGACTAGCTCTCTATAATTAAATGTATTTAAAGTATTTCAATTTTCAATGTAGGAAAAATAATATCATAGATTAGAAAAGTTAGTTAAAATAAAAGCTAGAGAAAAATTATAAATATTTTTTGTAAATAGTAAAATTAATTGTTAAATATAAAGAGTTTATTGAAGTACTTCAAAAATTTCAATCTCTAAATTTATAAATACTCCCTAAATTATAGAATATACTTTTTAAAAATAGAGAGTCACTTGAAGATGCTCTTGTTAAGATTTACTATTTCAATAGATTTTCATTATCTTTATCCTTTATTAAGATTCGGAGATTCATCTTAAAAGGTCAACCTTATTAAAAAAAGTAACTCAATACCCTATAAGTTGGTCTATATTTTTATCTTTATTTGATGTGAGATTTTATCCCTTAACATCCTGATATCGTAGTAAAATCTACGGTTCACGTTATTTTTAAAAATCTCATAAGCGTTAATGGTAGATACATAAATCATTAAACCTATTTTTCATTTAAAAATGCGCATTGAATGAAGGAAAAAATATAAAAAGATAATCTGATCTCAAAATTTGGGATAAGGCCCTTTTGCGTTGGCTACAGAAAGGAAGGGGACTGAGTGGATTCAAATCACCATGTCCTGTGCAAAATTTCCACATAGCTATTGTGTAGTTATGTTGCACAGTTTGCTTGTAAGTTAGATTTGAGCAATTGATTTAGTTAGAGAGAACTGATAGGTAGAGTTTATACTGGTGTTGAAGATTAACTCTTGTGTATTCATGGAGACTGGTAAGCTAATGTGACATCTTGACATCTCTACATGTATTCACAACGTTCCTTTTAATATAAGGTGAGTAGCTGCATCTGCATTACATTAATGTCATTTTTCATAAGGAGAATTGGACGGGATTCAATAGTATGAAGGTGATTGAGATTACTCAGACGGATTGCTGGCAGCCCTGGGCTATATCCCAGATGCAAAAGGAATTGTAAAGAAAATTAAGAATTTCATACTTAGGTATTGGCTTTTAGTAGAACCTATAACATTTTCTAACGATCTTGACAATTAACTTTCCAAAGTATGATAATCAAAAATTACAAGCGTATTAAGAAAGCCACTCTCCGCGCCGAATTGCAAATGATCCAGACTCCAGGGAAAAGATCCATTTTGATTCCAGTAATTAACAAATATATAGGCACAAACTTTTTTACCGCTGGCATGGAATACAATGTACCACTCCTTGAAACTAGAAGCGCGTCGTAAACTGTTTTTTAGAAGATCAAGAATCCAAGATGATTACTCAAAAAGATTATTCTGTAAACTGGATGTTATAATAATCGGATTCAGAAAAGCCAAATGGCCCAACAGCAGCCCTTCTAATACAGGCACCACATGGGCGACCTATTTTTTGACTTGTCCCCCACCCTGACCAGAAAGTATGTTTGAATCGGATTTTATGACTTGTTGGATTTTATGACTTGTTGCATGTGATAATGCTTTGGTAATCTCAATGACTCGTACAATTAATGCGATTAAGATTTTATTAGTTGCATTGTATTTCATGGCGGCTGACATTTAAGGTAGACAAGTAAGAATGTTCAAACAATGTCACTTTCTAATGCCTTCAAGATTTCATGACACTAACAAGAGTTCACTGACTACTCCGGATTTGGATAACCAGTTTTGACAAGCAGAAAATTGAAATGTTAACTATGATAATTAATTTAGGTAAAGACATGATGCTGGCATGGAATACTATGTACCACTCCTTGAAAGTAGAGACTTAAGTAGGGAACATAGAGTGAGTTGCATCTACCCAGTAAAGTGAAACAGACGCATGAACATGCTGTTAATCCATTCAATTTATGGGGCTGAATATAATTTCTAGATTGAGTAATTTAACATGGAACAAAGGTTATGAATTCAAATACCACCATCACTAATGTGCAGCGTAAGATATAAATAGGTAAAAAATATATAAAACCTAAATATAAAAGACTTATTGAAGACAATATTTAAATGACGTAGATGTAAACTTGCTCAAGCTTTTAAATCAAATTTAAGCTAACAATAATGAAGTATTACTATGAAAGAACAAAAACCATACACAAAGAATTAATGGGTCCAATTGAAAATGCAGAAACTTCCTTCTTATGGCTATTATAAGGTAATACTCCTTTTGTGAAAGAATTAAAAGAACCTCTTTCTTTTTCAAGGAAGAGAAAAGAATACACGAGTATCTATCTATCTATATATATGTATATCCTCTCTCACTCCACTTTGTCTCCGAGGTTTCCAAACATTACTCTCCATAGAGACTCACTAGGGAGCTGGGATCTCAGCAACTGCAACAATTCTGCAGGTCCGGGGAGAGGAAAGAACTTGTTCCCAAGGTAAAAAGTTTAGCACTCACACATTGAGACAAAACTCTATGATTAGACTAACTTTAGATCGAAGAGACCAACCTTGACAAAGCAATATCTTCATCTTTCTCTTCCAATATCTTCTATCTTTATTTGTAGACCTAGTAGAGTTAAAAAACCTAGTACAGTTAAAAAACCATCCAAAAATTCACACTCTGATCATTCACACTCTGATCACTAATTCTCCCTCTTTCTCTTCCAAGATCTTCTATCTTTATTTGTAGGCTGTTATTGAATTAGATTTTACTGAAGAATTTATGATTTCCGTCTTCAACTTTCATTCTTACTTATTTTTGTTACAGTGGAATTGCATTATATATATTGTCGTGTATTCTGGGATGATCTTTATATTTCTCATTTGATGCCATTATTGCTATTGATCTTAACAACGATCTAGATTTAAGTAGATGCAGAACCTTCGTACCAGAAAAGAGAACTGAGGGAACCCTCTTACAGGAAAAGAGAACTAAAAACTACAGAAGGAGACGAAAAAAGTACCAATCCAATTGGATATAATTCCTTTGAACGCATTATTAAATTGGGATTTTTAAACCATTTCACGATGGGTTTGGAACCTCAGTTGGAATTTTATCTTATTAGTCCAACTTGGTGGTCTCAACTGATGCAAGGTTACTTTAATGCCGTAGAAAAAATATATATCAAAACCCTAAGAAGGGTAAACATGATTTTCCCATAGAATATTCTATCCACCAGAAATCGAAATCCTAAGAGGACGAAAGAGTCTCAAACCTCGCTGCTAATAGTTCAATCCCACCACCCGCCAAAGCATGGAATTGTGTATATTGTTTACAGTACACTGAAAAATTATGCTATATAAATGCGTGTAACTTTCTCAAAATTTTCTAGCTTTATTTTTAATGTTTTAACTTTTCATGGTCAAGTTGAAGGTGGCTATACAATGGGGTTTGTACAAAGGAATAACGATATTGTATTATTTGAAGACTTCTTGAAGCCTGAGACAACAGCCTTGTGCTGGAAGCGCGTCATTACAAATGCTTCCAAAGTAAATAAATATTCCTTCTTCTAACTATTTTGGATTAGTATTTAAATGTATAAAAGAAAGTCACAGAAATTTGAGAAAGGAGAAATATAAGTAACAGAAACTTAACAATTCAGTGGCTTCAATTGATGATTGTTTCACTGCATTTGATGATTTGTCTTTAACTAAATATGTGGACAGATAGGCAAGGGTTTGTCTAGAGATACCAAGGCACACATACTGGTTTCGAAACATTGGATTGAAGTTGTGAGTTACTCTTTCTTCTTGCCATCTTAGAGTTTTTTAAGTTTAGCTTATCCTCGTGGAGATCTTTTATCCGTGCATTGTAAAAGGTGTGTTGCCCAAGACATAATAAGGTGTATGATGACTAGATCTCATACTCATCTTCCTCATGACAGCTTTTCACATTTTTTTGGGATTAACAATAGATATGTTATTTATGCAGATTGATACAAGGCATCGTTATGGTAACAACTTACAACTATACTATAAAGAGTGGTTTAAAAGTTCCACCAAACAGCATTTCTTTTTTTGGTGAGAGAAGTCCTTTAAACACATCAGCCAAGTAATGGTGTCAAAAGAGTTGTATCAAGTTACAATTTAAGAGATTTTTTGGAGTCTAACTTGAAGGAGTTGATTTTGTTTCTGCCTCTACTGATTGTCAAGAAAAATGAAAATACACTATATAAATTGCTAATCTCTTTGTGGATTGTGCTTTTCATTTATTTTACTTTGAACAAGTATGAATTGCAGTTGGTTCTTTATTATCTAAATTGGAAATCACGTATTAATTGAAACTCGAATATATATATTTTTTAATAGGTTGGATTTTGGAGATGGCAAAGAGGTTGATCTTGAAGAGTGCCCAAGATCAAAGCTTGATCAACAATGTGTCAAGTATTTTGAATCAGTATGCGGTCGAAAGTGCATTTTCTTTTGCATGAATTTTTTTCTACATTTATAGCATGTTTGGCACATTAATGGATATTAAAAAGAAAATTTGGTGCCAAATTCTTATTTATTATAGTTTCAATGAAGCACATTATATTAATGTTATTCTTGTTTACATTTTGCCTATTTCTTATCAATTACTTTCAATAATATTTATTATTCATTTAATTGATAACAATCTAGTAGTGTGCTAAATATTTACTTCTGCATAGAGTATGTGATGCAACTATTATAGGGACCTCTTTATTATATTATGGATAAATTACATATCTTTCTTAAAATATTGTTCTATTATAACCTATGCAACATTTCAGGCATGGTTCTTAGTTTTTTATTCTTCTTTGATATTATCAGAAAGAGAGAGAATATTACGAGTATGAGGTCGTTGATGGAAAAATATTACACAATATAACCAGAAAACTTCTTCACCATGTATCGCCACAACTGAAATACATCTTTGTAGTGAGCATTTCTAAGAAACTCTACATTGGAGAGGTAAGGTCTAAAAAACTATTGTATTCACGTGATTTTTTTTAATCTCTCTCTCTCTCTCTCTCTCTACATTGGATCTTGTTAATTCTTTGTTACTTTTTGAATAACATTCAGAAAGATAAAGGAATTTTCCATCATTCCAGCTTTCTTGCGGGAGAAGCTTCTTTAACTGCTGGGAGACTCTTGGTAGAAGATGGAGTTCTTAAGGTAAATTTCGAGCTGTCCTATACTTTAATTTCTTGATAAAACATAGAATACTATTATCAAGTCCTAAAGTGTGCCGAAACAGGGCTATGTACTTAAGGTATCATTTCAAGCAGTCGATTGCAGATGCATTGCATTGGCTCTTAGCAATGTTGAAATAGGGCAATGTGACAAAGAAGTGTCAATATTCACCAACTTGAAGAAGGAGAAGTCAGGTTTCAGTGTTACTATCTTTAGTTTTCCAAAACCCAGGGACGGAGTCAGAAACATATACAGTATACTAGGATGGACTGAAATTTAAATTTTTTTTAATAAACTTATACTATAAAAGATGTTCTATGTCACAGGAGATTTAATTTAAAAGATTAAACTCATGACGCTCATGACGAAGTGTGTCGGAATATATTTTTTGGACACTCATAACAAAGTTCTAAAAAATATATTTTTAACTAATAAAATTAAATATAGAGCATATCCATTTCATTGTTGGAATAAATAAATTTTTAACTCACAAGTATAAATAAGTAATAAATGAAAAAATAAATTAGAAAAAATTTAATTACTTTTAAGTCATTTATTTTTGCTTTAATCAATAAAAATTGTTTGTAGAGTCTTAAATTAATTTGAATAATTAAACATTGGGTTTGGGTAAAGAATGAAGTTAGTTAGGTCAAACTTAATTTTTGGCTGGGTTAAATCTCTTATTCTTTTTTATTTCATCATGAATTTGGGCTAATTTTTCATTTTTTTTAGAAGCCAATATTTGCTTAATCCCCATTATTTTCAAAAATACATTTTTTTTCTTTTCTTTTCAACTACACATTCCTCAACTGGACATCGACCCAGTCAAAGTACCGGGTAACGGGTTAGTGGTTGAACCGGTGAGTTAGTGGTTGGACCGATGGATCATTACTTAAAAATTCTAAGTTTTTTTATTATTTTTATTATATATATGAAATTTTGTTTGAGATAAAATTAAAAATTTTAAATTATTTATATATTTTTAGATTATTTTGTTAAATATTCAATTCATTTTAATTAAAATTAGGACTATAATTTTTTTTTAAAAATATTTTTAATAAAGTATAAATAATATTTATTATGGCAAATTGGTAACGATAATTTATTGAGCTCTAGTGTTAGGTATTTCCCATCCCACCTTGAGGTCTAAGGTTCAAGTCTCATGTATTTTAAAAGCCTTAAATATTTAAGAAAAAGCTTTTGAAATTCGGTCAAACCAGTCAACAGCTCGATTTGTAATAAAAACAGGCCCGATTTGGTAAGAAAGCAGCTGGTTACATCGGTCAACAGATGGGTTAACTTGCTAATCCGAGCTATTTGCATTTGTGTAAGATTATTCAAACCTGCACGGTTAAGGGCCCGGGTGACCGATATCCACGTCCCGACTGGCCGGTCCGGGCAGGGTTTGATATCTATGGGCTCAAACAAGCTTTTGGACTGGTTTTCCAATTAAATATAGGGACGATAGAACTATTTACTAGGTAAATTTGATCTGATAGGAAAGCATATTAAGTCAAGGTTCCAACGAATTTTAAGATTTGTAAGTTAAGTAAGTTTTGTAATTGTTGATGAACCTTTTCTAGAGTCAAATATAAAGGATAAAATCTCGTATATTCTTGTTTATGATCACTAGAGACAACTTACCAGAAAAGGCCAGAGCAGTGGTTATTCAATTAGACGGACAGGAACAAGAGAAAAGTACGGCAAAAAAGAAAGAGGTATATTTATTGTGGAGGTCACCTTATTAAAAATTCTCTTAAAGAGACTAGTTGACTTGATAGAAATGATATCCTACTTGTGACGGGGAGGAGTTATATGCCCATCACTCTTGTGGGTCTAAAATTTAGACAATCAAATATTTACTGATCAAAAATTGTAGGTTTGATTGCTCTAACTCACAAAGGGTGGGAGATCATTGCTAAAAATGTTGATTTAGTTTTGCATAAAATATGGTATAACTGAATTGCAAAGATATATGATTTTCTTAGGTAATGTGCAGGATTTAGACTATGACATTAAGATAAGGAAGGGACGTACTAAGAGTCACTTGTTATAGTGGACACTCTCAAGAGAAATAGGCTTTATGTACTAAATTCCTGTTTGGTTTAATTCAAAAATTGATAAAATTCAAGTCAAAGTCAATAAGTAATGTTAACAACATATTTTATGGTATCCACAACTTTTATTAATTTTACAACTACATATTTAATTAATTTTTATCAAAATTTACTAAAATTCTGATTTTTAGCCAAACCAAAACAAGAACTAAATATTGAACAAACCATAGGTTTACTTCATCAACTATCTCAAATCCTAAAGATAATTCACATTTGTGGCACCAAGGATGGGCCAAATTAGTGAGAAAGGCCTTCAACTTCTAAAACTATACGGGGTGTTTGGAAATGATTTTGTTGCTAAAAATCACTTTCTTTGAAATTGCTTTTTTTTTGTTAGATTGCATTTTCTGCACGGTGTTCATAAACCCGTTAATATTCTTGAATATCTATATGCAAATTTATGGGCGTTGGCATGTGTCTAGTAATCTTGGTTTTAGATACTTTATGTTGATTGTGGATGATAATTGCTTCATCCTCAACCGAGGTACTTCATATGTGTGTGTATTACTCACCTATTCTCAGATAGAGTGGTGTTCATCTTTGTAAGATCATGTCTTTCATGATAGTATCTACAAAAGCCAATCCAACAAATATTGAACAAATTTAGTGACTGTCTTATTTTGTTTAGTCTTGATACAGGTTACCAATTTCTTGTAGGTAGTAGAGAAAATGATCCTCAAGTGAAGTCTTGTATGTGTTAGGAATCTACTTATTATAGCATGATGCTTCAAAATTTTGATTGTAGATGCATGCTCACTCAGCTGATACTTGTAATCTCTTGATTGTTTCTGCCATTCGAGGATCTAGAAAGTTCAGGATCAGCATTTAGAAGTAAACTACTATGAAGTTCCTAATTAATTTATTCTCTTTGAAGGAATCTTGAAACTTATATCCATTTGGAAGATCGAACCACAATTTCTAAACTATTGCTTGGTCTTAATATACACGTACTATATCTAAAACTTGAAAGGACAAAAGTAGTAGAGGCGCATTGAATTAATGCGAAGCCCCATGAATAGGATTTTGCTAAATAAATTTTTATCTAATGCAATCTCTTTACTTTCTTTAGCGTATCTCACCTTCCAGTGGACATTATAAGCCAACTGAGGATAGCCTTGAACGATTTTTATCATTTCTCAAGGAAAATGGAGTCAATCTTGACGAAGTCCAGGTGCATCATCTGCCTTTCCTACTTATATTTTTTCCTGTGATTCAGTATTTCAACTAATAGTGTTGTTGTCTCATATCTTTTTTTTAACAGATCAGGAAGGCGAACGAAGACTTTGAGTCCTAAAGTCTAGATTTGCCTCCGAAATTGCTGAATTATATTTATATGTAAGAATGGTGTGTAACTTGAGTGTACCAGCATCATCTGCAGAATGGAGAGTTGAAGAGAAATATATGTAATGATAGTGTGTGACATGTGTGTCTATCTGAATCATCTGTAGAATGGAGAATTAAAGAGAAATAGATGTAATGATGGTGTGTGACTTTAGTGTACCAGAATCATCTGTAGAATGTGCAATTGAAGAGAAATATATGTAATGATGGCGTGTGACTGTGTGAGTTGAGTATAACATGATCATCTGCAGAATACTCTAATCAGCACTTTTGTTCACTCGGGGATGGGTTCATCTCCACTTTATTTATCCATTATTAGAGTTTGACGAATTCTATTCCCATCAGTGAAAAGGGAACAGAAACGTCCTCGTCAGAAACAACTGGTGCAAATGTAACAACTGGAATTAACTCTAAACGAGTAATAAACATATAAGATATGGTCAATTGCAAGCTTACTGGTGACTCCTCCAAGTTAGAAGAAGCCACGAATCATCTCTCTCGTCCTTTTGTGGCACCATTTTTGGTTACGATTGATCCATAAAGTCTAAAACAGAAAGTGTCCAAACTGGTGATGAGTGCAAGTGTTATGCCCTAAATCCAATCGATTTAGGTTGTAAACGCTTTTAATATGTTTAATGCATTTGATTTTGGCGAGATCTATTATTTATTTAAATTAATTTTGTGATAAATAATATTAAATAATAGAATCCGAAGATCCAATTTTTAGGTAATCTGTTAATCACAAGGAGTTGTGATTGTGAGATACAAATTACATATAATTGGATCTTGAATAGACCATGGTTGTAAGTAATAACGAGATACGGATATCGTTAATACAGCTAGATCATCACGTGTGGCATTTCTTACTTGTGAAGTAAGTAGCTGATCTCACGAGCTAAAGTGTGGTGATACTTAAATGAACACGTGGATGTTTTGTTATAGAACAAAACATTGGAGACCCGCTAAGAAATTCCACATGGATAACTATCTGAGTGTCAGTGGTTAATCTCTAACGTTCGGTAGTGGAATTGGTCCTTTGACTTGAGGTCGTCATGGTACCTTATATGAGGACAGTCATACTTTGGCGGTGTTGGATGTTGCTCTGAAAAGGGCCGCTAATACGATATCGTTTGAGTACGTCAAGAATCGTATGAAGGTTGTGATTAATCAATAAAGGATTCGTCACTCTTAGATAGTAGGAGATTATGATCTGCGTTTCATTTAATTAAGTCGATGATGAAATCCTTGGCCAAGGTGTACTCATAAGTCGAAAAGGAGTTTTCGATTTATATTGACTTAATAGTGGAGTGAAAGATATGATCGATGATCGAGATTGACACAATTTCATATCTCATAATTGATCGGATCATATTGACGAAGGGATAATAGTTTCACGGTAAACGAACGAATTTGGTTTCGTCATACCACGTGACATTTCCCGTCACATGTATTGCCCTGACACATTGTTAGATGTCAATCAGGGACGGTAAGTGTGAATTGACGATAAATTAAAAGGGCGTTTTAATTTATCAATTTTGATTAGATCAAAATAATATTTCACGACGTTAGGCATCGTGGTCGGGAACCTAATGGGTCGCACACAAAAGAGAATTGGAAGATTGCAAATTTCCAATTGGTTAATCTAACAATCGTTGGATAAATTAATTAATTGGATTTGTTATTTATATTCCCGAATTAATTAATTGGATTAATTAATTCACGGACCGGGTTTAATTAATTGGATTAATTAAATATTGGACCGGACCGGGCCGGGTCCGTTTGGGTTTATATATATACATAGCTAGGGTTTGAGGTCCAATAGGTTTTCATTATTCTTGCTGGCACAAGAGAAAAATTCTAGCTGTTGCAATTTATTCTCTGTGTGGATTTCATTGGAGGCTGGACAATTGGACAACTGTGGAAGGCAGATTCAAGCTGCTGGAAAGGAATAACGCGAAGGAGTTTGCAAATTAAAAGAAAAGGTATATTTCTTATCACAATTTTTATCTAAATACAAAGTTGAATCCTGAATGGGAATTGAAATTTGTTAAATTTCGCTGTGCATGTTTAAGTAAATACCCAATAGTGGTATTAGAGCCAACTTTGTATTTGTTAGGAACTGTTTAATGTGTTGATTAAATTAAATGTTAGTTTAATCATGTTCATTCGTAAATCTAGCAAATATAGTTTTAATTTTTTTTTTTTTGGGATCTGTTCTTGAAAAACAAAAAAAAAAAATTTTGGGTCGAGGCGGGCGGAGCGCCGTGCAACAGGAGCTGCTGCTCGCGCGGGTGGCAGTCGCAGCAGCACCTGCCGGCGCTCCTGCAGCTCCTTCGCGCTGCAACCGGCAGCGCGATGCGCTACTGGTTGTTTCCAGCTGGCACTAGCGCCACCACTGGAAGGAAATAAAAAAAAAATTGTTTAGGGTTTGGTGGAGACAGGGGCCCCTGGTTGCAATTACGAAAATGGGGTCGATTTGCAATTTTAAAATCAGGGACCTGTTCTGTAAATTTTTAGTTTGGAAGGGTCTGCTGTTAATTTCCAATTTGGGTAAAATTTGTAAATTTTCAAAAGGTTTTGATTTTGAATTTTGAATTGTTTTAAAAATGAGTTTTAGATTGGGTTTGACCCATACAATAATTTTGACCCAGAATTAAAAATTTATTTAAAATTTGACGACTTTTATATTTTGTTAAAATTAGATTTTAACTTAAATATTTAGTTTGACCCTTAATTGAATTTTTATTTTGTTAGGGAATTTTGTCCTAAATTAAAATATTAATTCAATTTTATTAGAGTTGGACTCTAATATTACATTAATTAAAATTTGTTTTGAATTAGCACCACTTCCCAATGCAAATTAGAACTTAGAGTATGACTCTAATTTAATAATTAATTAAAATTCGATTTTGATTAAATTACTTCGCCCAGTAGTTATGCAATTAGAGTTGGACTCTAATTCGGGATTTAGTTAAAATTTGACTTTAATTAAATAGGCCCATCGATTAAATTAATTAATTAATTGTTTAATTATCTCGATCCCAAAATTTTGATTTAATTTAGACGACTATAATTGCTAGATTTATGAGACATTGCATATAATATTAGATATTATATATTGGAAACATTTATGTGATGAATGTTTATGGATGATTATGGACTCGACCATATGGATGTGTTGAATGGTTGATTCACTTCTTATTGTTGTTGTGGGCCTGCGAGCTCTTTATTATATTGGACCTGGGAGTTCGTTATTATTGTTATTATTATGGGCTTGCGAGTCCGATTTCTTTTAGGCCTGCGTGCCAACTAGTATAGGATACATGTTGCAAGTTCAGCTAATTGGAGGCGCAAGAAGAGGTGGACACCATGGAGATGGTGTATTGGTATTGGTCCAATGTTGTACCCCTTAGGAATTGACCAACTAGTTTTCCTTTTGGCTCGGGAAAACTAGATAGAACAAGTCCATAATCATCCATACTATT